GTTCTGTAAAAAACTGAATCATTTTAAAAAAAATTGTAACAAGTGTTTCTTGCACTATTAGAACCTAAAGCTTTTGAAAATCGTTGTTTTAATTTTGATCGTTAAGTAAATGGTTTTTTTTGCAAATATGTTGATCAGAAGCATCAGAAAAACAAGAATTGAAATAGGGAAAAACATTCAAAGTCATGAATGCCAAAAACTTTTCAGCAATATATTAATAAATTTGCGTTAGAAAAAAATTGCAGTTTTTGCATTTTGCAATAAAAAACTATTTTTTTAAATTATACGTTTCAAAAAACCACAAAAAAATGCAACTTACACAAAAAGTTCAAAAAAACTTCCGCATGTTTGTTAAAATTTCAAAACAATTTTTACATCTTGCATTTTACAAAAATTTCCTGACTATTTTTGGACGCTTGTCAAAAACTCAGAAACAGTTTTTGCACCTTGAAAAAATTTTTGAAAAAAATTTCGCATTCTTGTTAAAAATTCAAAACTAATTTCATCATTTGTACAAAAATTGAATTTTTATTATTGAACCAAATCAATTTTGCATCTTTCAAAAACTTCTGCGATAATTTCAAAAGTGTTCAAAAGCGTTGAATATGGAAATTAAAAACAAAATTTGCATTTTAAAAAAAAAATGACTCGCACACTTTCTAAAGAATCATAACCATCAATGTATCAATAAACAATTTTCAACAATTCAAAGTATGAGTTTTGCAGTTTTCGAATTCCTCTCCAGAAATTTCAATCCGAGCGTCTATGTAGATGTAAGCTTATGAACAGAGCTTAGATGGTGTTTTTTGAGTTTTTTAGGCATTCTGATTGTGAATAATTCAAAAATTAAACCAAAAAAAAATCCGTAGAACAGTAAAAAAAGACTATTTCCATCAGAGAAGGTAACACATTATTTTCTTGAATCTACACAATAACTCCTAGAAAATTATGAGAGGTCATTACACTTTGATTTTCAGCATCTTCTAAAATCTGGAAATATCCAATCAAAAATTATCCAAATCTAGAAAAATTCATCCAATCAGAATTCCACAACAATTTCTAGGGTGATGAGGTTGGCGAAATAATTTGTCGATGTTGGATGTTTTGCTACTTTTTTTTCTAAATCTGAATAAAGATACTCAATCAAATATGGAAAAATAGCAATCGTTTTCAAGGAAATTCTGCTTTTTAGAAATTTTTCAAACTATGTTTTATTTTAACAAAGTATGATATTGTACAAAAATTTTTTAAAACAAAAAACAAACCAGTCTAAAAAACAATTTGTACTCTTTTTAAAAAAAATGACGCGGAATTATCAAAGAAAGTTTGAATCATTTCAGATGTTTTTAGAGAATATATTCAAAACCTACTTTTTACTGGTAACTATATACATCTGACAAACACTTCTTTGAAAATCTCCTACAGTTCAGTTCACTTCAATTCAACGATTAACATAGATAAAACTTTTAGAAAAACCGGAACGAAACGGAGATAACTCGAGAGTAGAAGAATCAAAGAGTAGAATCAAAAACGAAAACAAATTTGATGAGGTTTCGGTATTGGGGTACGAAAACAGTTTCAATTTGATTACAAATGAACATTTACTATGAATGACCGTTTTTGAAGACACCGTTGAGTTTGACATCTTCTACAGAGATTCGGAGAAGTGTTTCAGTCCCTTAAAATTTTCCCTGCACGATTGGCGAAAATTGAAACAAGTCATGATAGAAAGTACATGAAAGAAACAAAACTGATTCAACAGGATAATTTATCTCTCTTGAGAAGAAAACAAGGCGAGGCATTTGAAGATGAAAAAGAAAACAAACCCAAAACTTATTTCAATTTTTGTTTCAAACCGATTTTTTTTTGTCTTTTTCAACGCAAAATACTGAAAGAACATAATATAAAGACAGTTGATTATATTATCACAAAGCTTATCTGATCACTATGTACAGAAACATGATCAACAATAAAATAATCAATTATTTTCAACAACTCAGATTCGAGTTTTTGAGTTTTGAATTTTTCGAAATCTATCCAGAAACGTTGAACCAAAAAAATGCGTGGAAGCAACTTTTTGATTAGAACGCAGAAAGTGTCTTTTGAAATCTTTCCGAACGAGTCATTTCCTTGCAATGCTCGGTATTGTTTCTCCTCTTTACCACTTCAAGTTATGCGGAACTGCACGGGTAAGCTGATTAAATATTTCTCCGCTTTGTGCAACAATGCTTGTGTGAAATCTGGTACAAAGTTTAAAGACAGTCAATTTAAAGACAAATGTAAATTTTTATTTATCTAATCTCTTAAAAATTGGATTCAGAGAAGTTCTTATTGTTTTTAGATGCAATCCTCCAAGAAGCAAAAAAAGTCTTGAGTAAACGCGAAATAGCTTTGCGTCACTATGTATTTTTGTAAGGCTCATTGGAAACCAAAGTAAATAATGACTTTTCTTCACATTCTAAATAAAAGCTGGAGAGAGCTTGACAGATAGCAGCTGCCATCTGGAAGCATGTTTTCTATCGAGAATTGTGGCTTTATATAGGAGAAGTTATATATGGAATTTTCAGACAAGTTTTTCCTTATTTGGTACTCCTGCCATATAGGGAAACCATGATGACTCAAATTGCTTACTTCCATTTTCAATTAATCTCAAAATAATTTTGTCATTTCTCCTCATCTGATCAGTTTACTTATCAGAAACGTAAACGTACTCCAGAAAAGACACTAGTCACATTTACATTGAATTTTCAGAAATTCAAACAAAATTTGGGAGATTTTCTTGGTCCCAAAAATCCTTCAAGGGAAAATTGATTTTCAGCTTTGCTTCCAACTGCTGAAGAAAAATGAGTTGGGATAACTCGAAAAATCCCAGCAAGTCTATCTTCGAGAAAGAGAAGGAGAGAAGATATCAGCAATGCGGAATACTGTTGTTCACGATGCTGAAAACCTTGGACTGGAACCTATATATGAAGCCAAATCTGGAAATGAATCACCTATGGACCAGGTGCCCAACATCTGTAAGAGAGTATACGAAAAATCAACTTACAACATGTGGAGGATATGTGTCATAATCAAGAAGTACAGTATGAAGAAGCCACCGTATTTTCAGATTCAACTCTTCACTGCGAAGGAGAACGAAGTGTTAATGCAAGTTGCCTATTTCAACTAAACGTTTATTGAATTAAAAGAACTGTCCCAAATTTGTGAAGTCTTTATGATTTTATAATTGTAAAGTTCAGTAACGCTTTGTGATGTTTTTTATGCCTTTTAATTGGAATATTTTTGGTTCAAATTTCTTTCTCCGCACTGAAGTGTACATTTAGAGTTCAAAACTTGTATTCTAAAAAAAAGTCGGACAAAACTTACAATTTAATCAAAATTAACTTATTTTCTAGTATATTTTTGGGAAAAAAACTAAAAAAAATTGTTCAACTGCTGTTTTCATTCAAAATTTTTCTGATTTGGACAATTATACAAACAAAAAAATAAATTTAGCCGAAAGACTTAATTTTTTCTCGGATTTCTCTGTTTTATTGATTGTTTTCAAAAGTTTGAGGTTTTGATTGGTTACATCAAAACAACTTGGATGTTAGGTGGCGGAAAAGTAATGCAAATTGTTGGAATTCCTTATACACTTTATTTGAAAAACATACAGTTCTTCGTTAAATTTTTTAAAACAGAATTTTATTTATTGCTGTTCTTCATGAAAAATTGTATTTTAGTCAGAAAAATGAACGGTTAAAAAAACTGGAGAGGAAACTTGATAAAAAAGAGTATTGCGAGATTATTGAACAGTATTTTAGTGAAAAATGAAATCAGATTGAGTAATCAAGAATTAAAGAACAAACCAAGGTAAAATCCTTTAAAAAAAGCTGAAGACAAGAGAAGTCATAATTTTTGAGTAAATCATTATGATTGATTTGAAACTGCTTTCATAACAGCTTTCTAAGAGTCTATGATAAACTTTATATCTGTTATTAATTATTGAAAAGGATCAAGGTTTTCAGAAGAAGGAGCGCTTAACGAATATTAAAACCAATCATCTTTTACATAACACTTCTTGCTAGAATATGGTGACGTAATTTTCGTGCTCGGCATGGTTCTTTTGCTCCCAAACTTTCTCGATTTTTGAACACGTATTTTTAGACCTTCTTAAAGGGTAACATTGGATGACCTCAAACGTTAAAAGAAGTTTTACCTGTTATTGTTTTGAAAAGTTGCGAGGATTGCGAAAATGCATAATTGGGTAATTTAAGACTTGCGCGAGTTATTTTGTGCTTTCAACGCAATAGCGGTATTTTGATAAACTTTAACTCGTTTCAACTTGAATTGAGGTAAGATTAATTAGTATGTTACTTTGTACTTGGCGAGTGAGGGGAAGTAATGAAAAAGTCCAAACTCTTACCTTTTTTTTTTATTTTTTGAAAACTAGGCTGACTTTTTCTTAGTTGATGATTTCCTATTCAAAATCAAGCATATTAAAGGGCATCGGAGACATTCAGGGCTTCGCTCTGATACTAGCAGTCTTGTTGCAACTAAAGAATTTAGAGAGAAAGTGTTTTCATTCCTGGAAACCCTATAATCACTGTTCTTCCGAGTATTTGAAAACTTGATCAATTCAAATTAGAGGTTATTGTTTTGGTTTCGAATTAAGTGACGGAATAATTGTGCTTGGGGTAGCTTTTCGGCTTCAGAGTTATTTCGAGTTGGACTAACTTCGGTTTTTGACTTTTATTAATTTTCGACTTCACTAACATTTTTGATCGATTTTTTTATTCTTTGAAAAGAATTGTTGTTTTGAGCACAAATTCAACAATATAATTCATAGTGATAATTTTCGTGAAACTTTGGCTGTTTTAAAGAATGCCAATTTGACCAATTGGGACAACTAACTTTAATCTGTCGTGGAATTAATCTGTCTTAGAAACCGTTCCGATTAAAAATGAGGTATCCTATTTAATGTTCTGTTTTTTTCGCTATATGCGAAATGTATCACTTCGTGTTATACAAAAAGTGCGGCGGATGATTTTCAAAAAGAAAAAAAAATTTTTTTTTTGGACACTTCTCCAATTTTTAGAAGTGAACACTGCTCTATATTTCATAGAAGGCAGTCGGTTAAATCAGAGCTTCATCCTCATGCGACCAGTCTTGCTTGTTGTTTCTAATTAGTTTACCAGTGATTTTTTGTTGACTTCTCAATGTCCGAGTGTCTAATTTTGAAATATAACTTGGCAAAAAAATTAAAAGCTTTTTTTTCCTGTACTTTGACTTGGATCACCAAAAAATGCGGTTCAAATTAATTTTACTACTATGAATTTGATTCCCAGTACAAGTTTCCCCCACATTAATGCCCTTATGATAATTTTCCGTTCATATTGTACGTAAATTCAACAGATTTTTTGATCACTTCTAAAATTATATTAAAATCAATCAAGTTTTACATAACACTTTTTGTTAAGACATTCGAGTATGGTGCCGGAATGTTCGTGCTCGGGATGGTTTTTTTCTTTCGAATTTTTTTGAACTTTTTGCTGGTCATTTTTGAAGAATTTTTTTTAGATCATCTGAAAAGTAATATTGGATGACTTCAAAATTAAAAGATATTAGCCTGTGTTTATTTTGAAAAAATACGAGGATTTGGAAAATGCCAAACTTGGTATTTTAAGACTTGTGCGCAATACTTTGCGCTTTCAACGCATTAGCGGCCTTTTAATCCGCTCTTAAATCGTTTCAACTTGAATTGAGGTAAGATTTCAGGATTAATTAATATGTGACCTTGTACTTAGCGAGTGAAAGGAAGTAACAAAAAATTGCAAACTTATCTTTTTTTTTAATTTTATTTTTTAAAACTAGGCTGAACTTTTCTTAATTGATTGTTTCCATTACAAATTCAAGTACATTAAAGGGCATCGGGACTTTCAGGGCTTTGCTCTGATACTAGCAGTTTTTTTGCAACTATAGTATGAGGAGAGAAAGTATTTGCATTCTTGGAATTACTATAATCATTGTTCTTCCGAGCATTTGAAAAGTTGGACCAATTCAAATTGGAGGATATTGTTTTGGTTCCGAATATTAAGTGACGAAATAATTGTGCTCGGGGTAGCTTTTCGGCGTCAGAAATAATTCGAACTTTGACTAACTTCGGTTTTTGACTTTTATTAGGTTTCTACTTCACTAAATTTTTTGATGGATTTTTTATCCTTTGAAAAGAATTGTTGTTTTGCACACAAATTCAACAAAATAATTCACTAGTGATAATTTTCGCGAAACTTGAGCTGTTTAAAGACTGCCATTTTGACCAATTTGGGACAATTAACTCTAATCTGTTTTCAAATTAATCTGCCTTAGGAATCGTTCTGATTAAAAATGAGGTACCCTATTTCATGTTCTGTTTTTTACTTTGCTATATGCGAAATGTATCACTTTGTTTTATACAAAGCGTGCGGCGGAAGATTTTGAAAGAGAAAAAAAATGATTTTTTATTTTCTTTTTGAAAACTTCTTCAATTTTTAGAAGTGAACACTGCTATATAGACCATAAAAGGCGTTCGGGTAATTCAGAGCTTCATCCATCCTGATGCGACCAGTCTTGCTTCTTGTTTCTTATTAGTTAGCCAGTGATTTTGTGTTGACTTTTCAATGTCCGAGTATCTAATTTTGAAATACAACTTTGCAAAAAAAATTAAAGCAGTTTTTTTTCCTGTACTTTGACTTGGATCACCAAAAAATGCGGTTCAAATTAATTTTACTACCAAGAATTTGATTCCCAGTACAGGTTTTCCCCACATTAAAGACCTTACGATAATTTTCCGTTCATACTGTACGTAAATTCAACAGATTTTTTGATCACTTCTAAAATTATATTAAAATCAATCAAGTTTTACATAACACTTTTTGTTAAGACATTCGAGTATGATTCCGGAATGTTCGTGCTCGGAATGGTTTTTTCTTTAGAACTTTGTCGAATTTTTACTGGTCATTTTTGAACAAATTTTTAGAACTGTTTAAAGGTAAAATTGGATGACTTCAAAATTAAATGATATTAACTTATTATTATTCCGAAAAATTACGAGGATTTGGAAAATGCCAAAATTGATATTTCAAGACTTGTGCGCAATAATTTATGCTTTCAACGCATTAGCGGCCTTTTAATCCGCTCTGAAATCCTTTCGACTTGAATTGTGGTAAGATTTTAGGGTTAATTAAAATGTTACTTCGTACGTGGCGAAGTAGGGGAAGTAACAAAAAAGTGCAAACTTTTTACCTTTTTCTTTTCAATTTTATTTTTTAAAACTACGCTGAACTTCTCTTAATGGATTATTTCCATTACGAATTCAAGTATACTAAAGGGCATCGGGGACTTTCAGGGCTTCACTCTGATACTAGCAGTCTTTTTGGAACTATAGGATGTAGAGAGAGAGAGTATTTTCTTTCTTGAAGGTACTATAATCACTGTTCTTCCAAATATTTGAAAAGTTGGAGCATTTCAAGTTGAAGGTTATTGATTCGACCTTGAATAAAGTGACGGAATATTTGGCTTCAAGAGTAATTTCGAATTTTGAATAAACTCGAAAATTGAAAAACAAAAGGTTGAGTTGTTCTGCCTTCTGCGTTGTACACAAAATCAGTTGACGCGACGATTAATCCCTCATTTTTGTGGCTTCAAAAAGCAACCATCAGAAGTGGAGAGTAGAAAATTGCTCAAGGCAGAAAAATTCTGTCTAGTTTCATGATTGTTTTGTCTACAGGACAGATCGTGGGTAATGCTTTTGTTGGGAGATACTTGAACGAGTTAGTTTGCTTTAATTTCACACTAGGGTCTGCTTTACACTTGGGTTGACATGGTAACAGCCTCGTCGTATATTGTCCCCTCATTAAATCAAACTGCTATTTCTCAGCTGTCTTACGTACAATTATTGGTAACCGCGTGATGTTACGATGTAAAGAACGAAGAACAAATAAGTTCCCACAGTTAGTTTGCTCACCATGCAAGTTTAATCATTACACTCTGGCAATGTATAATTAATTTTTCAAAACTGAAGTTCAAATGTTAGGAAAAATGGAAAAGAGCCGATATTTCGGATCTCAGCCATTAAAAATTTCTCGAGGAGTTTGAGCGTGCTTCTATCTAGTCGAGTGATGATGAGGCGGGGCACCGAAGTTGGCTTGGTTTTAATATTTGGATTTGAGGGTTGGGTTGATATTTGGATTTGAAGAAAACAGAACAGTCCAACTTTACCGATAAGCCTGATTGAAAAAATTTCAAGAAAGAAGGGGCGGAAGGGCTTAGGGTTTTTGTTTCTCAAGGAGCGCTGCATGTGGATCTCACACAAAACTTTAAAACATTGGCGCCTTCTTTTAGATCAAACAAATCCATTTTTTGAGATCTCTTCAAACGCCAAAAAGACTTATTATAGGTAAGTTTCTTCGCAACAGGAAAAACTTCAAAATTGAACCACAAATGCCGTTTTAGAATCCTTCAGAAGTTTGTGTGCATAAATCGAGCTTCTGTAAGTTGAAATTAGTAATTATAGGCTTCCATGGTGATTTGAGAAAAATTGGGATTGATGGGTCAAAATTTGATGTGAAAAAAAACAACGAATATTTTCATAGAAAACGATGCTTTCGCCTCTCCCTCTCGCAGCATTGCTTTTGCTGCAAATGGTAATAGCTCTGGATTTTTGAAAAGAAGAAACTATATAAAAAACGAGACCTCAATAGTAGCTGCTGAAATTTCTGCAGTGCAAGAAGAGCAGTGCAAGCTGCAGTGCAAGAAGAGCGTTTCTATCATTTTCTCGAGGAGAGAGAGGTTTAAATAATCAAAAAAAAAATTGTTTTCTTTTGTTCGGTTGTGTAAGTTTTTCCAGAAAAATCGAACTTTTCTGTGTCGTAGGATATAGACGATTTGCGGAAAATTGAGTCTTAAATACCTTTATGACAAAATTGAAAGAATAAGTGGAAAATTTCGTTTCTTTTGCGCGCGCCAACCCTACCACAAACAAATAAAGATCAGTTATTCACTCTGTGAACTACCCTAGAGCTTCCTTTTTAATAACAAAAATTTAGTTTTCAAAGTTTATTTACTAAAACATTGTTTATAAAAAAATTATTATTTTGTAATTGCAAATTTGAATCAGTGAACAGTTGAGAGATATGGAACAAACCTTCAACAGAAATCAAGTTAACATATTTACATAATTACGAACTGGACATTCGAAACATACTTTGTCATACGACAACCATTCAAAATAAGACAAACATTTTTGCCAATACTTTGAAGTAAAGTTTCATTCAAAATATGGGTTTACATGATTGCTAATTGAAACCAAAACTTTAGCCACAAAAGCGCATTCCCCATAGCCATGAAAACATCCATTAAACATGACCCATTTTTAAAACCAAATGTTGTTTTTGTTTTAAAAAATAATAAAGCCCAAAAAAAGAATGACGAAACCAGGATGGCAGCTTCGTAGAAAAAAGGTCTAAGTAAACAAAAAGGTTAAATTTTTCACTTTTCAGAAACCGTTTTAGCCTTATTTTGATGGCATTAAGAGAGGCTTTAACATCAACTCTAATACATGTATTTACGTGAACATTTTCGTTTATTCACGTGGCGTCTGATCTTTTTTCTCAGCGTGAATTTTTCCTGCTCCATGGATTTTTCTGTGCATATGGGTTCTTTTTGTTAATCTTTACATGAGAATGATCTCTAGAAACTGAAATCGGACAAGTCTGAGTCGTATGAAGTGACTGATACCATACTCCCTCGGTTAGTAGCTGTCATTGAAGAGTTTACAGTCGGCTTATCTCTCGAAACTAAAAGAAGAATAAAATTAATAAACCGTATTGATTCATTTGGAAAAAAAATCAGATCTCAGACTGAGAGTTGACTTAGGAGTAAAATGTTTTAAATGTTTTTTTTGATGCGACCTAATTTTAGAAAAGCAAAAGAAAATCACCAAAGATATAAATATACAGAAAAAAAATTAATAACATCAATTTTTCTAGTATATGATTTTTTTGTGCGGTCAAAACTTTTTAATATGCAATATAAAATATCAATAAAACTTACAGTTGGGTGTTTTATGAGAAGGTAGCGTCGCCGCCGTCCTGTTTGATGCGTTTCCGTTGTTACTTTCGGTTCGCAGTGTACTCGACATGACAGGCACTGGGTTCGATCCCCCATCTCTGGCTTTAGACACTGGAGCATGAGCCGCTGAGCTGTTGCTGAAAAAGATATTCTTCATCAATAGTTTTGTTGCGCCACTGGTTTGGGTTTTTTTTTCATGTAACTTTGCGTCAATTCAGCATACTTTTCAACATTTACGGGTCACAAATGATCACAAAACAACTAAATCAGAGACTCTGATATTTTTTTTTGTAAATCATTAACTTCTTATCAAACCAAAACTCAGCTGGTTCAAAAAGTGATCGTAAAAATGTCAACGGGCTACTCATGGGTAAACCACTTTCAATCCACCTGAATCATTTTCTTCTGACTGCCTCCAACATTCTCTTGAATACGAAAATTGACAGGTAGAAAAAAAGGTCTTTCAATTTACTTCATAAATTCAACATATCCAACAGACTGCAGGAATAGTGTCAAAGAACTCAATGAACCAAAAAAATGATGGACTTTTGAAACATTTTGAAACTTGCGATTTTCGGAGGAATAAAAAAATTGCGTTATGTTTTTATGAAGCAAACCCAGTTAGAGAAAACTGAATCGTTAGTGAAATTATTTCATTTTACTGGAAATTCTAAGGAACGAAATTCCTTTTTGAAAATAAACCACTTTTGTTATTGGATAGCAAATGAAATTGAATTGAGTTCAGAAAAAAAAGAGAAATAGAAGTCAAAACAATCAAATCTACGAGTGTAGTTTTTTCCTGAAAAAAATTATGCTACTTAAGTTACTGATAAATAGCTTAGTCGTTCATTAACCATCAAAACATGTTAGAAATTCGTTGCATATGCAGCAAGTTCATAACTGTTTCGGCAAACGGTAAGTCCATTTCAAATTTCTGATGTTGCAATTAAATTTTTTTTGAGCTGTGATTTTCGTGCCTAAAATTAGAAGAAAAAAATGACAACAATATCAATTTAATTTAATGATGCTTCCGAGCTAAGACAGACATTTTCATGTCATCTAATCTAAAGATCAATGGATGTTTAAGTGGCGCGGAGACAATTCAGCCACAGACAATTCAGCCGATTTAAAATACAGACATTTCAGCCAAAGAAAATTCGGCCTATTTAGATTAAACAAACTAGAAAAAAGAAAAAATTAGAACTTTTCTAATTTGATTAGAGACAGAAGGCTTTCAACACTTTAACAAAGAAATGTGAATCATCGAATAACAAATTTCAAATATCAAACAAGCTTGCTATGCATTAAGTTTTAGTATATTTGAACATTGAAGGTACAAATTTTTTAAATATTTCTGTGTATGGTCTCGATTGTAGTTTTTTTGCGTTTTGAACGAGTTTCTCGTTGGCAATTGAAAACTTGGGCTTCGTTTTTCTGAAAATATCACCGGGCATCAGTCTCTCTACATTAATTTCGGCATTTTTTGTCCATCTTTGAAACGTGTGATCAGCTTGGGGAGGGCTGGATGCTTTGTCGACCCGAAATTATTGAAGCTGCCATTCTATGCCTCCAATGCATTGTCCGTTCGAGTTTCTCCGCTGAGCATTCGATTAAAAAAGTTCCAATCGGCAAGGTCATACTTTGGTTTGACGCGTATATTCCCTCGAGAGGCACCAAAACAGGTGTCTTCAAAATAATCCGATAGACTCTGAAATTTTACTGTGTAACAACAGTTGAGTTGCGTTTTCAGAAACTAAAGTTTCAGATGAAAGCGTAGCGAAACATAGATTTCCCAAAATCAAAAACAATGTTCCTACAGAGTCCAAACTGCGCTTCGCAAATACTAGCGAGAACACGACAAAAAAGCAGCTTTATGAAAAGAAACAAAAATTAAGCCTCAAATTGGTTAATTTTGCTACCTATCAGATTTGAACAAGCGACATCGAGCTAAAGAATCTCACCCCCTGCCCTCTCGGCAGGGCGTGATAATTTTGCCTGTAAAAAATTTGAAAACATAAAGCCACTTTATTTATAATTTAAGCATTTCAAAAAGCTGCGAGATGTATTGAGTTAGAAACTTTCCGGAATCGAATTCTCATGATTGTTATGTTCTTTGAAACAATTAGCTTTTTTCGGTTATTTTAATGAATTCAAAATGCATCAACTGAGTTGACTTATCACTATTCGAATGTCAAAGCATATGCTATCAAAAAACCTAAAACTGGCAGCATTTGCGACTTAGGTTTGAAAAAAAGAACGCTCAAACTAAAGTGTAAATAACTAGCACAGAAAAAACTTGCTTAGCTCGCGGAAGGTTTTAGTACAAGTTAAAGTTTTTATCCTCAAATTTTTTAAATAGCATTTATGATATAATATGGAATGAGATGGTATTCCATTATTTCTACCGCCTTGTTTTTTTTGAGTCTTCACGATTCCCTGAACCGGGTTGGGCTAAAAAAATTTTTTCTAGATTGGTTTTCGTTATTTGGAGCGCCATTAATTTTTTCATTTATTCAGTAAAAACTTCACTAGGGACTGTTATTACTTTTTAGCCTTCTGTTTAGTAGCTGAGACATAGACATCAGACAGCTGGAAAAGTGAAGAAAAAAATTGTATCGAAAAAAATTTCACCTTAAAATTCTTTGATTTTCCAGATTTTTTCCATGATTGACAGTATTTTTGATAGATTCAACGCAAACATGATCAGCGAAACAAAAGTTTGATCATTAGTTAATTTTGTATTCCGCTGGGAAGTCCTAAAAAGTTTGATCATTAGTTAATTTTGTATTCCGCTGGGAAGTCCTAAAATTAAAGTCCCAAAACTGAAACAAAAAGTCATTCATGTTTTTGCGCATAATGCACTTTTGTCAATGAAGAGCATAATCGGCCTTCCATATAGCAAATTAACTTGCCACGAAATAAGAAAAAAATCAGGGAAAAATTCGCGGAAAATTAAATTTGAGCGTGAATAACTCTCAAGATTTTGCTAGAAAAACAATAAAACTACAAGACCTATATAAGTGTCCTTATTTCGTTCATTGACAGGTAATAATGAAACAATCTCCTCGCCTAAAACATATATATTTTAAATTTCAAGCCAAATAATTGTCGAGTAACGTCGAATTATAGAAGTGGATATTTCAAAAAAACAAAGTTCTCAAAAAAAGAGTGTTTAATTCTAGCCAACTAATCGAAATGAAAAACAGAATTCTATTTTGCCAGTATTTGAATTTTTGTTTTCTGTATAACTGATTAACCAAATTTTCAAAGTTTCTAGACCATGTGAGTTAGGACCGAAGTGTAACTCATAGAGTAATTTCGGATAGGGTACACCGTCTGCTCGTCACGCTATCTTATTTTCGGCCGGATAGATTCGTGCAACTTCTTAGTCTAATACCGATCCTAATCTTACTCTTATACTATCTAGTCTCAGGTTGTTTAACTAGTCTCTGCTAGGCTCAATAGATCTAGGGTATACTGGTTTATTGCGGCTGCTGAAGTGCTCGGGAGAGTCCAACTAATTTCTAAGTTAAATTCAAATCTCTCTGGTGCTGAAATTACAAGTAACTTCAGCACTTACAAATAAGTGGGTTGTTAGTTAGATGGATCATGATTGGTTAATATTAAATACTTTACATTGGTAAAACATTTAATTTATCCAATCATAAAATGTAGTTTAGATCAGGTTCCACCCATCCGGGTTTTACAGAGTTTTTTAGAATAGTTCTTCTGCAATTCGAAGGATGGATGATGGACGTTTGTTTTTGGCGAACATCATAATTTTCTTCCGTTTCCTCTTTTGTTAGGGAAGTTCCAGGAAGCTGGAGTTAGAGACATAAGACGTTGTGTCTTCTAGTGACAACGACTACGTCTTTGCAACAAACTCAAATCTGATTTCAGAATGGTTTGCTATGTCAGGTTTTTCTGTTCTGCGTGGAGAACTTCTTTTGTGTATGATCTAGTTTGGGAATGGCGTGGAGATTGTGCGTGGAGGGGATGCCTGGTTACTCGGATCTGTACGTATACTTGAACATCGAGGTGGTCATTGGTCTAGTTCAATGAAGTCCTTTTCTGCGAGGTCAAGTCGTACTCTAAATCCTTTGAGTTGTGATTGTGAGCGGCATATCGATTGTAGTTGGTCATTCTCTCTCGAGTGTAGTGGGGTCGTCTTGTCTTTTGATGTTCGTCCTTGGTGTTGTATTCTGATCTATATATTGCATCATGTGATTTTACATTTTATAAAACTTTTATTAGTTTAATATTTTTTAATAATGATTTTAGTTAGTTGTTTTCACAAAAGCTTTTTGTTTTAGTTCGGTTATTTTGAAGAGTTACTCACACTTGAGTAGCTCTTATTAAAAATAGTGGTGTGGTCACAAAGCGTGGATGTAGCGCGGTGGGTTAGGCCGGCTATAGAGCATGCTCAGGACGTCCTTCCTGGTGGGTTAGGCCAGGAGTGGGAGTATGATTTCATGCGGTTTTTGTGAGGGGTCCTGTTATGTGACAACGTTTTATGTTGAGTTTGTTGTGGTCTTACTTATGTTTTGTTGGTTGTGTCCTTTTTTCAAAAATCAAATTGTTCGTGGTATGGGTTTGTCTTTCGACTTTTTTGTGTTTTATTATTTCTTTCTTAGACTTTATAATAGTCTTCAAAAGAATAAATTATCCAGTTTTAAACTGGGTTAATCCGGTTTGGGTACCGTTGGTTTCCTTTTCTTAGTCATGCTGTTATTCTATGATTTGTGGTATTTAGTAAGCTGCGTTGGTTAGTTTTGTTTAGTATATGATTCCTTTCCAACCGGGTTAAAGGAAAGTTTGAAACATGTTATTATATGTTAGAGTTGTTGAGTGTGAAAACTTGAAACTGAAATTCATTATTTTAAACAATTCTTCGTGGGCGAGCTGTGCGAGTGTGGATAGAATTTCTGTGCGAATGAATGAAAATATTAAAGGGTTAGTACTGCAATTGCATTTTATTAATTTACTGCATAGAATTTGTAAATTTACTGCTAGTTATGGGGGAATTTTAAGTTACAAATTTTCATCATAATTAGATTTACTGCTTTTGGGGAAAATTTTAGAAATGAATTTACTGCATTAGTATTAAATTTATAAATTTATAAGTGTAAGAGATTAA